TTGTCCCTGTCAACAGCAAACTGGGATGTGGAGACTGGGAGGAAGGAGCTGAGCTGACTCCCCTTTGTAGCCATGGACATGTGATAACTTGGCTGTTCTGATGGGAAATTTATTTGATGGGAAGTCATAAAGATGAAAATTATGATATAACAATATAATCCTGTTTAATCTGTGCTCCATTAGAAATAATACCCTCTATAGGGAGCCATTATGGGGCTGCCTTGGACTTTTTTTGGAGGCCATTCATGCCAATTTTTTAAAATTTGTTTTAACATGTTCAGCCCCAGTGAAGGTTCCTGCAGCACATCAGCCCTTCCAAGGCGTGGAGTCTCTGCTGAAGGATGTGGTGGGGCCGTGTGGTCCCAGCTCCTGCAGCTCCTCTGTCCAGCAGCACGTGGGTTTGGACTCCAGAGATCACTTAATGTAACAAACCCTGCCTTCCGTGAGGGATTATATCATTTTAAAGAAGAAAAACATTCGAAAACCCCTAAAAGGAACACGGGAAAGCCTTTTTCCTGCGTCGTTTTTCCTTCCTTCCTTCCCTCTGGCGCATCCTCCTTGTTTTCCTCCTCCTCCCCTGCCCCGGCAGAGACCTCCAGAAAATGCCAAAGCCACGGATTTGGCCGCATCAGGTTCGGAGCATGTCCCAAACATTCCCAAACATTCCCAACGCGTGTGGGGCAAGTGCAGCCGCCATTGGCAGTTTATTTTATTTCCATCTTTTTTTTTTTTTAATGTTTTTTTTCCCCCCAAAAAGCCCAGCCCGTGGCTCCCTCTCCGGCTGCGCTGGGATAACAATGGGGCGCTTTGTGCCGCTCTGCAGCTGCTGAAATTTGACGAGATCCAAGTGAAGAAAACAGGAGCAGGTGGGTCAACAACGTGACCCTTTCGTTCCCAGCAGGATCAGTGGGAGCCCCGGGATGGAGCCCAGGAAATGAGGGTGTGTTGGTTGGTGCCTCGAGGATGGGAAGTGCCCTTTGGAGAGAGGTTTGCTGCCGTTTATCCCATGGGTTTCGCCCCAAAAATTCCAGGGCTGGGCAGTGTTGCTGTAGGGGATGAAGCGGCTTCGCTCCACACAGGAGATCTTTGCTCCGGTACCGGGGCTTTGGTTCCCAGATTGTCACTGGTTTGTTGGGTTTTGTGGTGCTCCGTGGCTGCCACATGGATGCTCCTGAAGTTCCCAATGGCCAGGGCCTGCCCTCCCCTCTCCCAGCCCCAAAGTGAGGCTGTCCAGATACGGCTGCCCCTGGATCCCTGGAAGTGTCCAAGGCCAGGTTGGATGGGGCTTGGAGCAACCTGGGAATAGTGGAAGGTGTCCCTGCCCATGGCAGGGGGTGGAATGGGATGAGCTTTAAGGTCCCTTCCAACCCAAACCAGTCTGTGATTCCATGATTCTGTCACCATTTCCCCTCTGAGTCCCCCCAGGTCGTGGAGATGGCTTCCTGCATGTCCATGTTTTTGCTGTGCTAGTGCGGTCCTGGAAAATGCCAAGGGTGGGAATTCCTGCAGCTTGGAGGAGGGTTTGGTCCGTGGTTCCTGGTGTGTTTGGTGGCGACGGAGGATGTGGTTGTGTTGTGCTCCTTTCCCTGGCACTGCCACATCAGCAAATCCATCTCATCGTGGAATCCTGGAATGGTTTGAGTTGGAAGGGACCTCAAAGCTCATCTTGTTTCAACCTCCTGCCGTGGGCAGGGACACCTTCCACTTCATCACCTTCATCAGTGCTGCCCACTTGATAGTAAGAGAAGGGTAAGATTAGGGAGAAAACCACTGTTAATAATCAGATGTGTGGGTCAGCAAAGAGCCACTTGTTCTTCAGCCCTTCCCTGCCTGAGTGTGGTGACCTGGTTGATTCCTTGGAGGTGTCACAGTGTGTTTTGGGCTGTGGCAACCATTTCAAAGGTAGCAACACTCAAACTTCAGTAGAGACACAGTTGTGGCCTGGGAGCTGTCTGAGATGGTGAGGGATTTGGAGTCTGAGGCTCGTGAGGGCAGATGTGAACAACTGTTGGTGAGTCAGCGGCTGCAAACGGGAGGTTCCTGGTGATGGATCTTGTAATCCTGATTCTGATATCAATTTACAATCAAGCCCCAATGTGAGATGGAGCAGAGCTCCCCCCTTGTACCTGGAGCTGTGGATGCACTTGTGGCGTTGAACATGTTCACATCCTCAGAAATCCTCCTGATTTACCTGTAATTTTAGTAGAAACCATGTCATGTGGGGCATCTCAGGTAATCCCACCATCACAGGCACTTCCATTGCTGAGGGAGTAGTACCCAACTCAAGCTCTTTGTTTGCTCAACATGAGGCCTGAAAGAGGAATGGACTCGGTGACCTCAGAGATCTTTTCCAGCCTTAATGATTTTCTGGGAATGACAGGCTGTGGTCAGGATGAGTCCATGCCAACTGGGGAAGGGGAGAGCGGTGAGAGCTTTGTCAGTGGGTTGGGAGCAGGAAAGATCCAAGCTGAGGAGCTTATTGGGGTGGAAGGAAGATGGATAGGGACTGGAGGGGATCTGAGTGCAGGGTGTGGAAAGCTGATCCGCACAACCCCACTGCCAGCTGCGGACACTCCATCCCTCGGGAAGGACTGGGAATAAATCAGAGCCTCTCCCAGCCTATCTGCGCTTAGCCTTGGGTTTTAGCAGGGCCTTGGTGGGATCTGCTCTGCAGGTCAGGGGAGCAGCACCACCCTTCAGCTGGAGGGGCAGGATTCGGCCACGAGCCGAGGAGGTTTAGGCGCCGACTCCTGACCCGGCGCTGCGACCGCGGTTTGTCCTTGGCTGCACTTGCAGCTAAACCCGGCTTGGTGCCGGCTTAGCTGTGCCCGTGCTGAGCAGCGGGGCCTGGAGCAGTGGCTCCCAACAGCTGGCAGCTCTGTTTACCCCGGGCTGGCCGAGCCGGCCCCTTCCTGGCACGGCCCAGCCGGATTGTGCCGTTGGTCCCGCAGCCGCGTGGGGCCGGTGCCAGGATTCCAAGTTGTCTCTTTGGAACAAGGAGCACAGGTGCAGGGCCGGGCTCCTGTTCCGGGCAGCCAGCGCTTCCCGGGAAGGCTCGGGACATGTGTGCCAGGAGCATCCTCCGATGACCCGTTTGACCCTCGGGAATGGGGTCGGGCAGGACCACGAGATCCTTCTGTGTCTCTTCCCTCTGCACACACGAACACCTCCCTGGGAATTGGGGTTTGGATTAAAATGACTTTTTGAAAGTAGGAGAAAGCGCTGCTGTGTCCTCGGGAGAGGCTGCTCTCCGAGGGAGAGGGATGCACAGGGATGCAGAGGCTGTTTGGATCCCGCTCCAACATCCATCCTATGGATCTGCAGGGCTAACCCAGTGATTAACATATGAAAACGTGGCTAACAGTGGGATTCTTGTGCAGGCAGGGATGAAGGAGATGGACGACCCTTTTGGTGCCAGTCGGCCCCAGAGCTGCTCTTTGGGCACAACCAACCTCTCACATTTGGAATTAGCTGGTGCTTTCCTGGTGCAGCTGCTTTTAGTACAATATTCTTCACTTCTCCTCTCTGAAGCGCTAATTTAGGCAGTTGGGGTGTGTTTGCTGGAAACCACAGGATGTATGGAGGGAGAATTGGGAGTTTTTAATAGCTGTGTGATGTATAATAATCCGAGGGGAGAAAAAAAATCCATTTTTATTTAAGGGATTTTGTGCGCATTAAGGTAAAAAACCCGAGTTTTCCTGACTGCTGCTGAAAATATTTTAAAGCAAATTCAAGGTAGTTTTGCTTGTGTGACAGCATCGAATCGTGGGTTTGAAAACTCTTCTGGTGGGGGATCAGGTGGCTCAGGCTGGAGCTGGGAGGAATGGATGGGTTTGGAATGTTTGCTGCCTGTTGGGGCTGGGCGAAGGGAGGTGTTGTGGATCACACTGGTAAAGTGCCTGGAGAACCCTTGGGAGGGAACATGGCTACATGTGAGCCAAGGACACTGCCTGGTTTAATTTGTGTAGACATGTAGGTGGGAATGTGTCTTAAACGTGGCCAACAAGTGTCTTAAATGGCTCCAGTACTGAATTTTCAAGAATTATCCTCACCAAGGTGCTTTTTTAATGGTTTAAAGTACAATTGTATCACACAGAAATATTTGAGGATAAGAATAATTGGAGGTGGGACAGAGCTGGAGTAATTTGGTTTTGGCAGCAGTATATTGTTAATTCAAAATGTAGTGGGGGTTGGACTTCACCTGTCACAACAGGGGTGAGTGTTCTGCCTCTTCAGAACAATCATTTCAGTATTTATACTCTGGGCTGGGACAAGAAAATGCAAAATGCAGATTTGCATGGATTAGGGAAAGTCTGGCTTCTCCAAAGCATCCCATAGCAGAGGGAGCAGGTTCATGGTGTGATCCCAAGGCTCTGCTTTGATCTCAGCTCTGCTGGTTCAATCCTGGGTAATTTTGTTAAATCCAGCCACGTGTAAAATCCAACAATGGGGAAAACTGGCCCAGTGGACAATTTGGACTTGTTACCATTATGATTTTTCTTCATGATAAAAAATTCCAATTGCACTTAATATGTTGGTGATAAATAAGACTTAATGAGATCTTAATCAATGTCTTTTGAAGATAAAACTGCCCCGTTTCGGCACAAATCCAGCACAGTCGGAAGGACTGTTGGCTCCGTGACTGGAGGAGTCAGTGGCACTGCTCAGGGCACTTAAATCACATTTTTCTTTGCTTCACAGAAGTTATTCATTTTTCTCTCACTTCACACTGCATAAAATACCCATTTTTATGCAGCGTATACTTGGAGAAGAGCAACACAACCCAATGCGTGTCGTTCACTCTGTAGCTTCAAACACCTGAACCCCCACTGTGTGTGATGTACTGGGACACTTGGTACCTAATTTCCCCCAAATTAAACCTAAAAAGCATTAAAGGTGTTTTTTTTTTTTTCTTCTTCAGTGTTTAAAATTAGCAAGAGGATAACTTAGAGCAGCATAACTCTTCTCTTTTTTTCCTTTCTCACACGTTGGCACCGCAGGATGGGAGTCGCAGCTCCTGGAAACAGGATTCCTGGGGATATTCCTGTGCCCTCTGTGGACCTTATCCCGCCTTCCCCAGCACACTCCTCCTTCCAGCATCGTCATCTGGGGCTTCCGCTGGCTGATTTTCAGGATCATGCTCGGAGCGGTGAGTGGGACGTGGTGCTTTGCTTCTTTGAGGTGACAGCAGAAGGGATGTCTCACCCCAGCACAAGACCTGCCCCTGGCCCATCAGAATCCTGTGGGTTGGGAATTTTTCCTAGTGGAGAAGGAGTGAGTAGAGGGAAACGCTTCCCAGAATCTTTGCCCTCACTCTTAGTGGTTATTTTAAGGATAAAACAGGAGTAAGAATATCCGTGTTGGTGTGTTGGTGCTGCCCCTGGGATTGGCCCTTGCAAAGGATTGGAAGTGGAACCTTGGGCATTGTGGCTTTTTCACAGGACTGTGAGGAATCCAGTGGGTAATTCCCAGGAAGCAGCAGCTTTACCCAGTTCTTTTTCCTTTGGATGTGCTTTCCTGAAGTGTCACTCTCTGCTCTGTCATATCAGAGAGAACAATTGCTGCCTTACTGTCCCAGTGCCAGTGGAAATTCCCAAGTAGCTTGTAAGAGAATCCATCAGGAACTGCCCCATCTCTGTTGCAGTAAAGGTGTGGCAGGGGCATTATCCTGGTATCTCCATCTGCTTGGACACTTCAAAATATCCCAGAACTTTAAGGATCATTGCTGTAGGAGGAGTGGTTGGGTGGTTTTTTTGTTGGTTGGTTGTTTTTTTTTCATGAATCTCATGGTGAATGTATTATTTTGGGGCATTTGCCACCAATGGAATCTTCCCAAATGTCAGCATAGGCCCGTCATCCTCTGTGGATGGAGGCTGGATCCTGGGGGTTTGGTGCTTCTCAGCTTCTAAATGCTGCAAGAAAGGCCTGGATGTGGCACTCAGTGGGTGACAAGGTGGTGATGGATCAAAGGCTGGACTCGATCTTGGAGGTCTTTTCCAACCTAAATGATTCTGGGATTCGGTGATTCTCAGCTGTGATGCTGATTATAGAATGAACTGATTGTCTATGACACCAAGTGTAGGGAAACCCAGCTCATTTCCTTAAAAAATTAAATGATCACCAAGTTTCCCCCCTGCTTTCCTTCTGAATTTGGAGTCTGACTGAGCTTTGCTCCTGCTAATGTGTGATATATATTCTGAATTATGGGACAGGCTGGATACAAAGGAAAACCATGCTCCCCAAACATCTTTGTTACTGTTATCTCTGTGCTGCTTCTCTTCTTTAGCTGGAGAGTAATAACTCTCCCGTTATTGTCAGGAGAGCCTTTGCAGAGGAGTCGGCTCCTGTCACATCCCGGAGTGTCTGGGATACTGATACGTCAGGAACAGGCACAGGAACGGAAAGCATGGAAAGGTCATTAAATGGGGATCTACACAAGGCAGTGGAAATGGGTGATTGATGGGATCTTTAATGTTTTGGGGCCCAAACACATGTCCTTCTCCTCCGGGGCCGGGCTAACGACACTCGCAGGCAGCGGGAAGGGAGTTTAACGCGTGACAGCGAAGGATCCTCCTGGAAAGCAGGTGCTCCTGCTCCCAGGGCATCTTCGGTTTCCTCCTAATCTGGGCAGGGGCTGAAGCTTGTGCACAAGTGTGTTTTGGAGGCACCTTTTCCCAGGGGTGGGATTGGCAGGGATTGTATTTTACGCAGAAAGGATGTTCGGCTTTTCCGGGCGGTTCTCTGAGGACTCTTCTGGGTGGTTGGGGAAAGGCTTTCCTTGGAAAATCCTCCAAGCAAACGGCATTCCCTCGGCTCAGCTGTGTTTTCTCACCTTGTGCTGGGTGTTAGGTGAGCAGTGCCATGTTTGAAATACACCTCAGGTGGGCAAGGAGGTCTCTCTTCTGCAATGTGGTGGCTCCCAGAGAAGACTCCACGTTCTCCTGTTTCCTGTGGTTGGTTCCCGTGTCATGGGACTGATTTCACCTGTCAGTCTTTTTTTTTTTTTTCTCCATTCAGTGTATCCTGTTTGGGCTCTTTTCCCATGTGGAGCTCTGGCAACCAGAGACTGTGCATTGAGCAAACCTGCTCTAGTGGAAGGTGTTGGAGGAAGGGTTGGAACAAGATGATCTTTAAGGTCTCTTCTGACCCAAACCATTCTGTGATAAGGGAGTTTTGCTGTTTCCTGGCTAATCTTCCCCCAAAAAATCACGTCCAGATCTTGCTTCATTGTCCATGTCTTCCCTGGGGCTGGCTGGGCTTGCTCAGGGGAGGTGGAGCAATGGGAAGTGGAATAATCCCGGCTGTGTGTGGCGGGAGCCGAGGAGTGCAGGGGCTGGCGCTGCCGCCGGGGTTTGATTGGCAGCGAGTGCTGGGCTGAGCTCAAATATTGCTGACTTTTTAAGAGGCGTAATTGCGTGATTCAATCTATATGTTTGATGTTCCTAACGAGCCATTAGCGCGGGATGTAAAGCCGGATGATGCTTCCTGGGAACACACAGAGGCAACAGAACAGCGGCTCTTTGTGTGAGCGAGCGCTTGTTGGGAAATAAGTGATGCAAACAGACATTTGTGGGGCTGATTTGCTCAGAAGAGCTCAGTGCCTTGATGCCTCCGTTGGTCTGCTCGTGATAATCTCTGTCACTTGGGTTCCTTGGAATTTTGGAAGGTGCAAAACATTGGTTCGTGTCTTCGTGTCCCCACCAGAATCACGGGGTGGGGGAGCAAAGGTGTGTGCCCAGACTTGTGCCACCCCTCCAAGTGAAAGGGTGAGAGGAAACGGCCTCAAGTTATACCAGGAAGATTCAGATCAGAGATTAGGAAAAAAACTCTTCACTGGCGGAATGGTCAGGCATTGGAATAAGTTGCCCAGGGAGGAGGTGGAGTCACCATGTCTGGAAGTGTGCAGGAGGTGCCTGGATGTGGCACCTGGGGATGTGGTTTTAGGGGTGATCGTGGTGGTGCTGAGGTGACTGTTGGACTAGATGATCTTGAAGGTCTTCCAGCCTTGGTTCTGTGATTATCTTATCCAAGGACATCACCCAAACTATGGTGACTTGCCAAGAGGAGCAGCCCTGCTGCCAGTAGGGCCCTTTCCTTGGTGGTAATGAGGTGGTTTTTGATCAACATTCCCCATCTGACTTGTGGGGTGGGAGCTGAGGCTGCATCTTGGGGTGCAACGAGCTCAGTCCTGAGATGTGGTTGTTCCCCAAGGGTTTCCAGTCAGCATTTTCCTTTGCAGCAGCACTGCTGGGATGTGTCCACTCACTACCCAAAGGACTTGTAGGTAGTGTTTTCCTGCTTGGTGATGTGATGTTCTGTACAAATCACAGAATCATGGAATGGTTTGGGTTGGAACAGATCTGAAAACTCATCCAGTTCCCTCCCCATGGGCAGGGACACCTTCCATTAGACCAGGTTGCTCCAAGCCCATCCAACCTGGCCTTGAATTTCCAGGGATGGGGCAGCCACAGCTTCTCTGGGTAACGGAGAAGAATTATCACTGGGATGGAAGGAGGAGGTGGGGGAGGTTTGAGCACTGGGGGTGTAACAGCACTTTGGGAAACAGGGAGTAAATAGAGAATTAAGGTGGAGCTGTCCTGCAAAGGATCACAGCCATATGGAATAAGTTACCAGGGAAAGTGGCTGGAGCAGAGGCTGTGAGTGAGTCTGAGACATCTTGATTAGTTTCTGGAGGAAGGGATTGAAGAGCGGAGTGAAAAAGCAGGGAAACGGGATTTAAAGCACATTACCACTTTAATTTAAAAGTGCCCAAAGCAAGGAAATTCAGATTTAGAGCTGCCAATCTCCCCCTGGCTGCTGCAGGTGTCGGGGTTGGGAGGACTCCGGGGTCTGTGTCCAGATGGGTCCGTGCCCCGCGGGCTCCGCTCCCGGCCGGGGCCACGAGCCCGAGCCTCAAGTTTGCCCCAGGAATTAGACCCTTTAATGTGTGTGTTATACAATAATACAATATCAATATTTAGAATATAAATGTGTTTTTAGGTACTCATCTGCTCTGTGCAGTGTCCTGGACACCTTCCTTGTGTGATGCCCTTAAACTGTTCCAGGGCAGCTCCCGGCTCGCCAGGCCAGTGGAACCCCAGGAGCTGGGATGGGATCCCTTGGGGAAGGGATTTTCTTCTCCCCTTTATCCTGGAAAGCCCTTTCCAGGATCAATCCCTCCTTACCCAGGGTGTGTCACACACAAGGTCCTGAGGAGCACAGGGGGAATTTAGGGAAACCCAAGTGCATCTTTTCCAGCTGGGATTTGTGCCTTGGCGCTCCCTCCCCTTGCTTTGCTTCCTGTAAACAAAATTTCTCTTTATTTTTTTCTCTCCCACTTCCCGGATTTCCCTTTCTGACAGTGACTCCAGACTGACCCCCCCTTCCCAAATCCAGGCTCAGCCTCTCTGAGCTGTTCAAGTACATCCTCAGAAGCCGCTGCAGAACAGAGGAGTTTGGAGCAGTTTTTGGCAGGCAGAGACTTAGAAGATGATTTAAATCCTCTGGCGTTTCAAGTCTGCACAAAAGATATTTTCTCCTTTTACAGGAGGAAAAAAGATCATTTAAAGTGATAGTCTTGGGAAATAATAATAATAAGCAATAATTTTTCCCCTTAAATTGTCAAAAAGTTTTCCTAGTAAATGTTGCCCATCTCTCCCAGAGATGTGTTTTCACGGAGAAAGGATCAATTACTTCCAGATTATTTGTATATCACTTGATATTTGATACGTTCTGAAGTGATTTTGAATTTTCTTTACCATAAAAAGAAAAAAACAACACTTCATTTAACCAACTGCAGCAAATCCTTTCAGAAACTTGTGGTTCGTGTTAAACTCTTCGTGTTTCTTGTTTTGTTTTCGCTTGGATCCTGTTAAAAGTGTCATAACGTGGGTGGCATTTGAAAGGTTACTGGAAAGGGTGGGGATGTGATTAGCTAATAAGGGAGATGAACTTTCTGGCAAAAATACCCAAGACTTTGAAGCAAACAGAATCTGGATGCCTGGAGTAAAATCGCATTAGATGTAATGAAATAAAAGTGGGAATTTAAGGCCATCCCTAAATGTAAAAGGAGGAGGAGAAGAAGAGTCCAACGGATGTAGTTGTCATCTCGGTGACAAGCGTGCCCTGATCCTGGGCATTATGGCTCTG